AATGGTCTACCAAAATTTTTATATAATGAGTATCTTTTGTATATATATTTTCCTAATTTGCATAGAGTATCATTATACGAATAATATATCTTTAAAAATCGATATACAAATAAAAGTTAAAATACAAAATTATACAATAATATAGTTTAATATTAAATTTTTTATAAATAAATAATATAGAGAAAAGCACAAATTTAACCAAATTCCCATAGTAATTTTTCAAAAAATAACTAAAAATTTAAGAGATTACCAAAATAACCAAGAAAATTGGGCTTAATAAAACGATAATATAGATAGTATAATTAATAGTTATGGGAGGATAATAAAATAACTCTATTGTCTTAGTTAAGGTTTGTGACTATTAGGTATGGGCCTTCTATTGGCCTAGAAGATACTACTTGACATCTTCTTAACATGTTGAGGCTTTTGAAAACATCACCCTTTGCCATATTATGTTAAGAGATGTTGAAAAGACAACATAGCTCAACGCCGGTGAAGAAAAAAGCGAGGCAATTAACCAAGCATGTTTATTCATTTAATTTCATTAACTTTTTTTATAGCCACTTAATTTTTTTAAAAAAAATAATAAAGTGGTGTCCTGTGTGGTAGATATCTTCTAGCAAATATGGTGTGATGTGGAGAGTGACATGAATAAAAAAATGATGTGGAGAATGTGACCGATATTTAGAGCCCACTATGAGTTCAGTTATAACCACTCTTCTTCTTGGTTGTTTTCCTTTTAAGATTTCTGCAATCCAAAAGAAGAAAATTGCATCTAATCCTATACAATTGCAAATTTTTATGGCTATTTTGGTAGTTTTATTTTTATTTTTATTTTTGAAAACCAATAAGAATTAGTATATATTTGTCTTTTTCTCAATAAGACCATATTTGATATAATGTAATGTTCACCATCAGATTTGTATTTAGTTGTAGCAAACGATACAAAAAAAAAAGTTAACACCAAATTTGTTGTAAATAAATAATATAAGAACATATTTGATGTTTTACTATACACCAACACAAAAATCGTGTTGCTTGTAGCAATTTTACACCAATGTTGAGTCGGAACAATCCCAACATACCCAAACAAACAATCATAAACTCTTTTTGGAAAAAATAAATCACGTACTTAGTGGTACATCAAAATTTTGTTTTGACTAATAAACAAAAGAGTTTTCAAAAGGAAAAATTCATTTTAGAAAAATAAGTGAAGTAGTTAGTGGTCCAGTCAAATTTTGTTTTGGACTAATAAACAAAAGAGTTTTCAAAAGAGACCTTATTTTGGAAAAAAAATAAATCAAGTACTCATTGGTCCATTAAAATTTAGTTTCCACTAAAAGAGAAACTACTTTTGGAAAAAAAAAAACCAAATACTTAAGGTGCATTGCCATCATCTCTTTCCCCTTTGTCAAGTTAAGTGACATTGATTCGTTGATTGACGAATCGGACCTTGGTTCACTGTCCCACCGACGAACCAGTTTAGAAGTCGAAAGGGAAGACAATAGAATGGGGTCTCCCTCTTTCTGTCTTCTTCTCGACGATTTTTTCAATGGTCTATTGCAATTTCGTTTTGACTAACAAATAAAAAAGTTTAAAATAAAATAAAAAAATTATAAAAAAACTATTTTGATAGTTTTCAATGCTAAGCCTCAGACTCATTCTTTTGTTTTATCATCTTACTAGTTGTGAGACCCATGTATTATATGTGTTAATTTAAAAAAAAATTAAATATAAATGTCAAAATATTTGAGAACTTTGAATTTATAAGAAAATAAGAAAAATAATGAATTATTATAATGAAAATGTTTTTTTATCTTTTAAATTTAAATAAATAAACAAAAGAAACTAATGAGCTTTAATTTTGAGAATTTTGAAATTAAAAGGTAAATTGATTAATGAAATTGATATCCATTTATTACTACATTTATTGCAATTATTACATTAAAATATTATGTGGAATTTAATAAAATAAAAAAACTCATAAAATAATATGTGGAAAAAAATTAATTCAAAATAATCACAAAATGACATTTGACAAATTGAATGAGAGTATGACAAGAGAAAAAAAACCTTTATTTATTAGAGTAGATTAAGTTAATTGTTAACGTACAAGGTTAAAGTTTAAAAGTTACTATAAATTGTCAAAATTTGCATGGATTTCTATAAACAGGTTTCACCCACTAATTAAATATCCAAATCTTCCCTAATAAATCAAAATCTTTTACCACATGTCTTATTTTCTCCTTCATTTGGACACATGTCATTTTCTAGAATTTTTGAATTTTTTATTTTTCACTCGTCATTTTATTAAATTAAAATTTCACATTTAATATGTAAGATAATATATATGTAAAGTATTTATTAGAAATTGTTTATATATGTAATGTATTCAATGTATTAAAGCCTCATTAATTTTAATAATTTAAATTTTTTTTCATTTTTCTTATAAATTCAAATTCTCAAATTGTTAAAATTTCATATATATATATATATATATATATATATATATATATATATATATATAT